AAAATGTTTAAAGGTTAATCCTGTATTTTGTTTGCCAGAAAACGTATTGTATATTTGCAAGCACAACTCAAGATAATTTTTTCCTGGCTAAGCTTCGTTAATTTTCCTTAATTCGCAGAAATACAAACGATAAACGGTGATAAAGCAGTTTTGTTGCTCACTTTATCGTCCTTCATTTGCGTGGAATTGTGGCTGGCTAACGTTTTAGGAAAGCAACACCAGGTCACCAAATGTAAAAGATTTTATTCTTTTATTAAAGTTAGAGAAAAACTCAACCATGAGAAAAATCTTAAACTGACTAAATATCTTTTATCTTGTGGAGAAAATAATGCGTTGAACATGAAAACGGTTTTCATGTAGACTGTAGAACGCAAATTAGAATCGTCTCAGTGTAATCAATGAGGCCCATGGAAAGGAATCAATTGGCAGTTTGCTGTCTGTTTAAGTGAAACTTCTCGTCTTCATACAATACAATATTTTTCTCTAGTGATAGCGGAAGCAGCTCAGTGAATTCCCTTTTTGCAGTTTTTTTTGGCGAGTTCTTGTTTACTGAGCTTTAAGTCATTAGCACTGAGGGCAGTCTAAATCTTGAAACTGCATGAAGGAAGGAAAACCTCAAAATTAATTTTATGTTGAGTTCGTTTTTTGTAAACCTGACTGTCACAAAGCAAATCCTTGAAAGGAAATAGCATAAGCTTTCTTCAGTGTCTGTATATATACATGTTACACTCTTGGAAATAACATGTGACCGGGTATTTTTACCCTGTTCTGGAGTGTATTACCGTAGGATATTTTTTTTGCGCCTTCCGTTGCCCAAATATGATAAAATGGCGTAGTGGAATAATAATTACCAGTATCCGGTATTTCTAGGAAATCAGGACCTGAAACCCCCGCGGCTATTTGATAGTGAGTCAAAATTGTATATCTCAATCGCTATGGACGTGTTGTCGTTTTCTTCTGGTCGATATAAGCAATGAAAATAAGTAATAGAGGAATTAAGCATACAAGCCTTATCCGCCCTTATTTTGTCATTACAGTATCTAGTCCTTACTTGTATCCTCACGTCTATGCACATCAACGCAACCCTAAGCAATCACTCTCATGACCAATTTAGTATATGACGTCAAAAATGTTTGCAGCTGTCTTGGGATCCAGTTATTGACAATAGAGATTGTTTGAGTGCATGATGGGATACCGGCAACACCCTTTGCGCTTTGTGCTTTCCCTGATCAGAAATAGCTCACAGTATCGAGTATTTATCCAAGACGCAAGGAAACACCGTCTAGAAGCATGGCAATAAGAATCTTAACCTCAGTTCAAGACGATTTTGGTTACTATAACAACCTGGCTTTTTTACAAAGAGGTCTACAAGAAGGTCGTATTCAATTCCAAGGTTTCGTTAAAAATTATACACCTAACGCGATCGTCTACGACGACAAAGGCCGCCTGTACGACTTTACACGCTCAGCCCAGCATGATATAAGAGAAGATATGACCACTTATCTCAGTGGTGTACTGCCGGGACTTACAATGGCAGATCTTGCACAGATTCGGGGAGCGTTTGACTGCCTCTTCAACTACTATTCATACAAAGGCTTCTTGGACCAAGTTGGCCAACAGCGAGCCGAGTCGATGAAAATGCTGATCTTTAACGCAGCCCAACAGTACGTGGCGCATGTTTACTTCAACGTTATTTCTCGTAAAACCGGGCCAGTGCAGTTCACCGTCACTGCCGCTTCCCTCACTTGCCAACGCTATACGTACTTTCAGTTACAGGACATAAACTTTGCAGCTGTTCTTCAGGCGCTACAAAACATGCATGTGTGATCGAGTATCTCCAGAAGATTTCATGTAACTCATGAGAAGTAGATGGTTGAAAACTGAGAACGTTCTAAATTACTGTTTAGTTGTCAGCTTCTTATATGTGTTTTACTTTTGCTGTGCTGTGAGTACAGTTTTGTTTATTCAATGCACCCAAGCGAGAATCAGAACCATTAATTTACTGAGCTTTTAGTTGTCAGTACCGAGGGCAGTCTCAAATCAAGAAACTGCTCGATGGAAGAGTAAGGAAGGGAAACCTTAAAATTAGATAGATTTAGTCTCATTTCGTTCCTTGTGAACCTGACTGTCAAAAAGTAGATCCATGAATGAAAATAGCATGTTTTGAGCTTTCTTGAATGTCTCTATATATACGTGTTACACTTCTGGAAATAACATGTCAAGTCATAATCATTTATTGTGTGTCACTGAGGGTATAGTAGTAGTGAAGTAGTTTGTGTCAAATGAGTTATTAAACCAACATAACTGCAAATGAAATAACTCACGGTATTTCGCAATGACGGTGTAGCAATATTTTTTTCTACGGCTCATGACCCTCGACAACAAAGCGCGAAATATGACTGCTTGCGTGATCGTCAGTTTGTTTTCGTTGTTTCCTCGGTTTCCTGAGTATCCGAGAAAAAGGAAAGCAGTCCAAATAGCTTGTTCATGTACGTTAGCAATGTCCAAGTAAATCTAGCCAGTAAATGTAGCAAAATTGTTGAAGTAAACGTGCGTTTTTCTTCATTTCCTTGAGGACATAAATGCAATATCAACGTGCACCAGTTTCGGAATTGTCCGTAGTTTGAAGGGAAGGATAAGCTTAGAAATACCGTGTGAAAAATCCACAAAAAGTTTAATGGTTAATCCTGTATTTTGTTTGCCAGAAAACGTATTGTATATTTGCAAGCACAACTCAAGATAATTTTTTCCTGGCTAAGCTTCGTTAATTTTCCTTAATTCGCAGAAATACAAAAGATAAACGGTGAGATAATTACCAGTGTCCGGTATTTCTAGGAAATCAGGGCCTGAACCCAGCGGGGCATTTGATATGATTTAGCACTGCATATCTCAATCGATACAAACCTGATGTATAACTCTTCTCATCGATATAAAAATGGAATATGTATTAGAGGAAGTAACATTACAGGCGTTATCCACCTTTACATTGTCAGAAAGTTTCACCTCCTTTACAAGGCTGCTGCCTAAAAAAATTTTTTGGGAGCCCTTGTTGCTCCTAAAATAAGAAGTGAGGGGCCCGAGCCGAATTTCTTTTAGCCCAATTAAAAAAGATCAGTAACTTTATTAACTCTTTGGTGACGGCCAGCGAGTAGCGAAAAAAAAAACCACATTTTTTACCAATTCCTCTTCTTTGGGCTAGTTTTCGGCTAATTAGCATAAAAATGGCTAAAAATGAGTTGTGCAAGAAAAAAGGCATATTTTTCCACTAATCTGACGTAATAGGTCTTTTTGTTTCGCACGCATGCGCAAAAGCCAAAATTTGGACTTTTTTTGCGAATCTATTTCGATCTTTGTCTCTCGTTCTCTTCTTTTCCTTTGCCCTTCTTGTTTATAAGCACTTTTGTTGCTCACTTTATCCTTCTTCCTTTGTATGGAATTGTGGCTGGCTAACGTTTTAGGAAAGCAACACCAGGTCACCAAATGTAATTAAAAGATTTTATTCTTTTATTAAAGTTAGAGAAAAACTCAACCAAGAGAAAAATCTTAAACTAACTAAATATCTCTTATCTGGTGGAGAAAATAATGCGTTTAACATGAAAACGGTTTTCATGTAGACTGTAGACCGCAAATTAGAATCGTCTCAGTGTCGACAATGAGACCCATGGAAAGGAATCAATGGGCAGTTGGCTGTCTGTTTTAGCAAACTTCTCGTTTTCATACAATACAATATTTTTGTCTAGTGATAGCGCAAACAGCCCAGTGACTTGGCTTTTTGGCGAGTTCTTGCCTACTGAACTTTAAGTCGTTAGCACTGAGGGCAGTCTAAATCTAGAAACTGCATGAAGAAAGGAAAACTTCAAAATTAGTTTTATATTCAGTTTGTTTTTTGTAAACCTGACGGTCACAAAGTAAATCCATGAATGGAAATAGCATAAGCTTTCTTCAATGTCTCTATATATACATGTTACACTTCTGGAAATAACATGTGACAGCGTATGTTTACCCTGTTCTGGAGTGTAATACCGTAGGATATTTATTGGGTCTTTCGTTGCCCAAATATGATAAAACGGCGTAGTGGAATGATAATTACCAGTATGCGGTATTTCTAGGAAATCAGGACCTGAAACCCCCGTGGCTATTTAATAGTGAGTCAAGATTGTATTTCTCAATCGCTATTGACGTGTTGTCGTTTTCTTCTGGTCGGTATAAGCAATCAAAATATGTAATGGAGGAATTAAGCGAACAAGCATTATCCGCCCTTATTTTGTCATTGCAGTATCTACTCGTTACTTGTATCCTCACGTCTATGCACATCAAAGCAACCCTAGGCAGTCGCTCTCATGACCAGTTTAGTATATGACGTCAAAAATGTTTGCAGCTGTCTTGGGATCCAGTTATTGACAATAAAGATTGTTTGAGTGCATGATGGGATACCGGCAACACCCTTTTGGCTTTGTGCTTTCCCTGATCAGAAATAGCTCATAGTATCAAGAATTTATCCAAGACGCAAGAAAACACCGTCTAGAAGCATGGCAATTAGAATCTTAACCTCAATTCAAGACGATTTTGGTTACTATAACAACCTGGCTTTTTTACAAAGAGGTCTACAAGAAGGGCGTATTCAATTCCAAGATGTTGTTAACAATTATACACCTAACGCGATTGTCTTCGAACAGAAAGGCCGCCTGTACGACTTCACTCGCTCAGCCCAGTATGATATAAGAGAAGATATGACCACTTATCTCAGTGGTGTACTGCCGGGACTTACAATGGCAGATCTTGCACAGATTCGGGGAGCGTTTGACTGCCTCTTCAACTACTATTTATACAAAGGCTTCTTGGACCAAGTTGGCCAACAGCGAGCCGAGTCGATGAAAATGCTGATCTTTAACGCAGCCCAACAGTACGTGGCGCATGTTTATTTCAATGTTACTTCTCGTAAAACCGGGCCACTGCAGTTTACCGTCACTGCTGCCCTCACTTGCCAACGCTATACATATTTCCAGTTACAGGACACAGATTTTGCAGCTGTTCTTCACTTGCTACAAAACATGCATGTACTGTGATCTGTGATCGAGTATCTCCAGAAGATTTCATATAACTCATGAGAAGTAGATGGATGAAAACTGAGAACTTTCTAAATTACTGTTTAGTTGTCAGCTTCTTATATGTGTTTTACTTTTGCTGTGCTGTGAGTATAGTTTTGTTTATTCAATGCACCCAAGCGAGAATCAGAACCATTAATTTACTGAGCTTTTAGTTGTTAGCACCGAGGGCAGTCTCAAATCGAGAAACTGCTCGAAGGAAGGGAAACCTCAAAATTAGAAAGATTTAGTTTCATTTCGTTCCTTGTCAACTTGATTGTCAAAAAGTAGATGCATGAATGGAAATAGCATGTTTTGAGCTTTCTTCATTGTCTCTATATAGTATACATGTTACACTTCTGGAAATAAGATGTCAAGTCATAATAATTTATTGGGCGTGTAGTAGTGAAGTAGTTTATGTCAAATGAGTTATTAAACCAACATAATTGCAAATGAAATAATTCACGGTATTTCTCGATGACGGTGTAGCAAGATTTTTTTCTACGGCTCATGACCCTCAACAACAAGGCGCGGAATATGACTGCTTGCGTGATCGTCAGTTTATTTTCGTTGTTTCCTCGGTTTCCTGAGTATCCGAGAGAAAGGAAAGCAGTCCAAATAGCTTGTTCATGTACGTTAGCAATGTCCAAGTAAATCTAGCCAGTAAATGTTGTTGAAGTAAACGTGCGTTTTTCTTTATTTCCTTGAGGACATGAATGCAATATCAACGTGCACCAGTTAAAAATGTTTAAAGGTTAATCCTGTATTTTGTTTGCCAGAAAACGTATTGTATATTTGCAAGCACAACTCAAGATAATTTTTTCCTGGCTAAGCTTCGTTAATTTTCCTTAATTCGCAGAAATACAAACGATTAACGGTGAGATAATTACCAGTGTCCGGTATTTCTAGGAAATCAGGGCCTGAACCCAGCGGGGTATTTGATATGATTTAGCATTGCATATCTCAATCGATACAAACGTGATGTATAACTCTTCTCATCGATATAAAAATGGAATATGTATTAGAGGAAGTAACATTACAGGCGTTATCCACCTTTACATTGTGAGAAACTTTCACCTCCTTACAAGGCTGCTGCTAAGAAAATGTTTTGGGAGCCCTTCGGGCTCCTAAAATAAGAAGTGAGGGGCCTGAGCCGAATTTCTAGGAGCCCAATTAAAAAAGATCAGTAACTTTATTAACTCTTTGGTGACGGTCATTGAGTAGCGGAAAAAAACCCCACATTTTTCACCAATTCCTCTTCTTTGGGCTAGTTTTCGGCTAATTAGCATAAAAATGGCTAAAAATGAGTTTTGCAAGAAAAAAGGCATATTTTTCGACTAATCTGACGTAATAGGTTGTTTTGTTTCTCACACATGCGGAAAAGCCAAAATTTGGACATTTTTTGCGAATCTATTTTGATCTTTGTCTCTCGCTCTCTTTTTTTCTTTTGCCCTTCTTGTTTATAAGCAGTTTTGTTGCTCACTTTATCGTCCTTCATTTGCGTGGAATTGTGGCTGGCTAACGTTTTAGGAAAGCAACACCAGGTCACAAAATGCAAAAGATTTTATTCTTTTATTAAAGTTAGAGAAAAATACCAAGAGAAAAATCTTAAACTGACTAAATATCTTTTATCTGGTGGAGAAAATAATGCGTTTAACATGAAAACGGTTTTCATGTAGACTGTAGACCGCACATTAGAATCGTTTCAGTGTTGGCAATGAGACCCATTGAAAGGAATCACTGGGCAGTTGGCTGTCTGCTTTAGTAAACTTCTCGTTTTCATACAATACAATAGTTTTGTCTAGTGATAGCGGAAGCAGCCCAGTGAATTCGCTTTTTGGCGAGTTCTTGTTTACTGAGCTTTAAGTCGTTAGGACTGAGAGCAGTCTAAATCTAGAAACTGCATGAAGGAAGGAAAACCTCAAAATTAGTTTTATGTTCAGTTCGGTTTTTGTAAACCTAACTGTCACAAAGTAAATCCTTGAATGGAAATAGCATAAGCTTTCTTCAATGTCTCTATATATCCATGTTACACTTCCGGAAATAACATGTGACAGCGTATTTTTACCCTGTTCTGGAGTATTACCGTAGGATATTTTTTGCGCTTATCGTTGCCCAAATATGATAAAATGGCGTAGTGGAATAATAATTACCAGTATCCGGTATTTCTAGGAAATCAGGACCTGAAACCCCCGCGGCTATTTAATAGTGAGTCAAAATTGTATATCTCAATCGCTATTGACGTGTTGTCGTTTTCTTCTGGTCGATATAAGCAATGAAAATAAGTAATGGAGGAATTAAGCGTACAAGCCTTATCCGCCCTTATTTTGTCATTACAGTATCTAGTCCCTACTTGTATCCTCACGTCTATGCACATAAAGCAACCCTAAGCAGTCGCTCTCATGACCAATTTAGTATATGACGTCAAAAATGTTTGCAGCTGTCTTGGGATCCAGTTATTGACAATAGAGATTGTTTGAGTGCATGATGGGATACCGGCAACACCCTTTTGGCTTTGTGCTTTCCCTGATCAGAAATTGCTCATAGTATCGAGTATTTCTCCAAGACGCAAGAAAACACTCTCTAGAAGCATGGCAATTACCATCTTAACCTCAATTCAAGACGATTTTGGCTACTATAACAACGTGGCTTTTTTACGAAGAGGTCTACAAGAAGATCGTATTAAATTCGTAGGCGTCGTTAACAATTATACACCTGAAGCGATCGTCTTCGACAACAAAGGCCGCCTGTACGACTTCACTCGTTCAGCCCAGCGTTATATAAGAGAAGATATGACCGCTTATCTCAGTGATGTACTGCCGGGACTTACAACGGCAGATCTTGCACTGATTAGGGGAGCGTTTGACTGTCTCTTCAACTACTATACATACAAAGGCTTCTTGGACCAAGTTGGCCAACAGCGAGCCGAGTCGATGAAAATGCTGATCTTTAACGCAGCCCAACAGTACGTGGCGCATGTTTATTTCAATGTTACTTCTCATAAAACCGCGCCACTGCAGTTTACCGTCACTGCTGCCCTCACTTGCCAACGCTATACATATTTCAAGGTACAGGACACAAACTTTACAGCTGTTCTTCAGGCGCTAGAAAACATGCGTGTGTGATCGAGTATCTCCAGAAGATTTCATATAACTCATGAGAAGTGCGGGAACTAGATGGATGCAAAGTGAGAACTTTCTAAATTACTGTTTTGGTTGTCAGCTTCTTATTACGTGTTTTACTTTTGCTGTGCTGTGATTACATGTAATTCAATGCACCCAAGCGATAATCAGAACCATTACATGTAATTTACTGAGCTTTTAGTTGTTTGTTTGAAGAGAGGATTTATTGTTGTTTAGATATTTTGCTTTCGCTGATGAAAAATATGAAAAGCCAATGTAGAAATCTTTATTCTTTAGTCTTAACTTCTTTAAGCTGTAAACAACGTAACTCGTTGAGTTACGATGTGATCTTAGCTAGCTTCTTCGGTTACATCTTGGTTGCATCTAGTCTTGGTTGCATTTTGGTTGGTTATGTTTTGAGTGTACCCGCGGTATAGTTTTGGATTAAAACCTCTCCGTTGGAGCCAAGTTCTGTTGTAATCATTGTCTCAAGGATATTCAGCAGAGGTAAGAGATTCCGCGGCCTTCCCGCAGCCAGCGAGTGTCCCCAGGAAAAGGCCTTTCCCAGAGAGTCTAGAGTTTTTCCCCGTCCGTCGATTTACCCTTTTGTGAAGGCAAAACCTGTTTTCATACTTTTTCCACCAGTATGAAAACGGGCGTAAGGAAAGGCCGGAATCCGGAATCCGGAACCGGAGCCGGAAAAGGAACCGGAACCGGAACCGGAACTTAAATTGAGACCGGGGTAAACTAGGAAGCACTGAAACCACTGAAACCAGTTCCCGATACCCGTGTGGAAATAAAATCAAGATGGCGTCCTCTGTTATCATTATTTTGAGAAATTTTCAGCACATTGATCGTAGTACCAAAGATATACTCACATTCGGAAAGTGACTTGCAAAACAAATAGAACATAACCACTAAAATTCAAAGAATCAGCCCATGCTGTTCCGCCACAGACTCGAGCATAAATTCAAGGCACAACAACTTCACATTTTCACACGTACTCACATTTCAATCGATTCGTCGCTTTGTCGCGATCTGTAAACGAAAACACATATGTTTTTGTAAAATGGTAACATTTTTTCAAACTCAGTAAAACGGAAAAGAATGAAAACTTTTATATTCTTACTCGTACCTTTTCTTTAAAGGGTTTCGTGTTTCATCCATTGTGAGGGAAAGGTGGCAAACGGAGGAGGAGTACTCATGTCAATCATGATCCCAAGTTGCAACGCGCACGCGTATATGAAATTCTCGAAGAAAAATTTTGCGCCGAAGGCAAAAAATGCGACAGTAAAAAATATAAATATATAAATTTTAAATATATATAAATATATGGGGATGAAAAGTCTTGGTCGAGCAATTATTTTCTGTGACACTCTCAAGACAGAAACGTCTCCAATTTTTATTTCTTAGGTTCGAGTTCCGCATCCGGTTCCGGTTCTTGTTCCGTTTCCGTTTCTGTTTCCGTTTCCGGTTCCGGATTCCGGATTCCGGCTTTTCCATACGCCCTATGACAACAGGTTGTATAATTGTCAACACTTTCTCCACCAGGCTTTGGAATACCGTGTAAAAAATCCACAAAAAAGTTTTAAGGTTAATCCTGTATTTTGTTCGCCAGAAAGCGTACTGTATATTTGCAAGCACGACTCAAGATAATTATTTTCTGCAGGCGAAGCTTCGTTTTCCTTAATTCGCAGAAATACAAACTAGGAATGATATTTAGAATCGTTACAGCAAAGATTTTGTACACAAAACAAAACAAAAAAGAATCGAGAAAATTATATTTCCTTACGGCGATAAAATTTACATACAGTCTCGCCTTAACTTGAAAGGTTGAACATGAATCGAAGGTGGTTCCTTTAGCCTAAAACTTCTTTAAGAAAGACTTCTATCCAAAAATATGAAATACCTGAAATTGTCCTTTTTCCCTTCCCTTTTCCACGGTGATCGCATTCCATCGTGTTACAGTCAAGGCAGGTCAAGCGTACCCCCTAAGATTCTATTAATGGATTGGTTATTTGAAGAATAAAGGATTAAATTAACTGCAAAAACCGTGGACGAAGATCCTGCTAGTTGTAAACGTTGGATCTCTAGAAAAGAGATCAAATCAGCCAAAATATAAAGAACCACGAACGAGAAGTCCAAAGACTACTGCAAAGCTGATTTAAAACAACGGGTATTGGTTTTTATAACAATATTTCGGCTGGCCATACCAGCCTTCTTCAGGTTTACAGATATTACTGAACTTATGTAGCAATCACAATAGAATGTCGCAATAAAAGGGAGAGGCGGAAATGACGTACAACATAAAAACTGGAAAGGAAAGATACTAAGGATATCACGGCGGTTTATAGTCTTTGAACGGTCGTCATTCGACTTCATATATATTTTACGGATTGATTTTTTTGGGGGTCTTAGTTTTCGTAACAACGAAAACTGAGAGGGGTCTTAGTTTTCGAAATTATGAAAACAAAGACTCCTGAATTTACCGTTAAAAACTAAGACGGGTCTTTGGTCTTAGGTCTTAGTTTTCGTAACATCCAGCATCGTTGTCAGATTTGGTAGTGGCCATTATCTGCATTCATGTCGCCCAACAGAAAAAAAATCGAAACTTGTTAAATCTACTTTCCGATAAGGTTCTCGAGGTGTGAATACAATCTAACAGGGGTATTTGGTGGCCGACACCAATTGACAACAATAAGAGGCTTCGATTGGGGTTTTCGAACTTCGTTACATAAATTTTCGAGATCGGCTATGTTAAGATCGTTTCGAACACAAAAATTGATGCTAGATTTGATATAGAAACAAACACCACCACCACCATCACTGATTCTATCACGTCTAACTAAATCAAAACCGGGAATGTAAAATTCGGAATCTCTGTGAGAATTATTTAGCTTTGTTTCCTGAATAGCTAACACATCTAAGAATTTATCATCCAGCAAATTCTGACTTCATCGATGTGGGTAGATAAACTGTTAACATTCAGAGAAGCTATTTTGGCTGACTTGACGAACTTATTTGATTAGTTTCACAGTACGGCATTGTTTTCTATTTCGTTTTGTTTGTATAGAGCTTGTTTCACTCATCTGAGTTCTTCAAATTTGAGTTGCAATCTATGTTTATGGTACTATGATTAACTGGTCCCCTTTATAAGAAAGAAATTAACGCAAACTTATATCGTCATAGTCTCTGGGAGTATTCTAAACGTTCCCACTGTTTATTTGACTCCTCATTTGACTCCTCCTATGGCATTATCTATCGAAACCTGTATTAGGCGGACACCCTCTATTAAGCGGACACTGCAGCATTCCCCGAGGGTGTCCGCTTAATACAGTTTTCACTGTACTATACTTTATAATTTTTTTCTATCCTTTTTTACCCACGACATTTACCCACACTCACACCCACGACCCACGACCACCACCTACGACCCACGACATTTAACTACACTCCCTAAACGTAAAGGAAACAAAAAACGCCAGGGAATATTATCGCCTCTATTTTTGTTGTTGTTTCAACAGAGGAAAATTCGTTTGAAATGATCACTGAGGACATGAAATATAGATTCATTCCACCGGCTCCTACTCAAAAAGGAGAGACTTCCGATGTAAGGGGCCGATCATTTATTACGTTCCCCGCGGGGCGGACAGGCGGCGCGCCCAAGATTCTGAGGTGATGGCCGCCTATCTTCTGAAATGTCAATCATCATCCAAACTATAATTGTAGGACATCTTTCCTTTGCTCTTTGCTTTGCATCAGGCCTAGTTATAGGGCTACCTACTCCCATATTTGCTCATATTTTTTTGTTGTGTTTAAAAAGAGAAAAATTGGTTTAAAATGGTCACGGAGAAGATTAAATATAGATCCTTCCCCCCGGCCCCACCCAAAAAGGGGGGGATTTCGGAGTAAGGGGGCGCGTATTTTTTTAGGTCCCGGGGGGGGGGGGTTCAGAAAAGTGTGGTGTATCAAAACTTTACCCCCCCAAAAGATAATTACACTGTACCCCCCCTGGCAATAACAATTTTAAAAAAGCACCCCCCTCCAACCCCTTCTAGACCAAGTCTCTTCTTCCATCCGTTGGGCATTGATTACATAAGCTATAGGATACCAGTAGTTGGAAGTTAGCGCGCTGAAGGCGCCCGAAACCTGGGGGAGTCTGGGGGCATGCTCCCCCAGCAGAAGGATTTATAAATTGGGGTCTCGGAAATGCCTTCTCCTGCGTTTTCTGCAGGACATTTGCAGTAAATAAAGACGGAGGAAAATGCAGTAATTAGGTGTTTATTTTACCCATCTATCTCTAGTGTTATCGGTAAGGTACAGACTGTTCCCGACATCAAGGACGTTTATACAAGCAAAGGGCGAAATGTGTACCCTTCAGACGGGCAAACTCTGTTATAATGCCGTCAGTATCAATTACGTCCTTATGCTTGTGTATGTGCAGAATTACAAAAGAGCTCAATCTCTCGTCTGTCATGGTCCTTCGAAAAAGGAGTTTGCAATCTCTTCGCGCAAAAGCTACGCTCAGTTGTGCATGTTGACATAGGATAAGTCAACAAAGTTATGAGAGCTGCATTATACTCCGGGATAGAATTGTAGTTGGCTTCGTTAAAAGTCTCAACTAAGGTCTCTGGCTTCACATTCGGATCCATTTCACTCCACTTAATCAGTAAAAGGATAAAGGAAATCCTAACACAAAAATACCAATATAATGCGAAATATTTATCCCAATTTAATGATAAAAATGCTTTCAAGAAATAACAGAATCTATATATTTTTTCCAGATTTCAGCTGTATGCCGATATGCACATATGCGTACACGCACGCTACATTCCTGGTAGTAGAAATAGCTGATGGGTTTCTGGGCCAAGCTTTATACGGGTAACATTTTGTTGTTGCCATGAACCGCCGAAGCAAATTTTTTTGTCTACTTTTGAAGGAAACGTGGATTTGCTTCAGTCATAATATTGTTTGACAACTTTTACGTAGAAGGCCAGCCCTGT